GCCTCGGTGCTGCCAAAGGGGGCAGCACCGAGGCCATGTTTACATAAAATGTGTACAATAGTATAATTTATAGGTTCAGTTTATACATTTTGAGTTGATCTGCTCCTTAAAGGCATATTAATGGTATTTATTGGAAATTTATGTTCATGTTAGTAATTATTTCTTGCCTAAAAGTCAATAAGTGCAAAGAAAAGACAACAAATCCCATTTTATAAATGAAAAAAGAGTGCTTCACTCATTTTATTGAACAAAATATTTTACAGTGTCTTGGATATACATATATACATCAGCTGTGTTAAACGGTTGATCAACCCCCTGCAGTGGCAACGATTGCTTTTCTGTGCCTGTAAATCTTTCCAAAAATACTTAAAACATCGTCGATTTCCAAACACGTTATTACAAATCTGAATATAGAAAGCACAAAAAAATAAGGATTCATCTGTGAAAAGCACCCTCTTCATACAAAAACAACGTTTCTCTCTGTTTTACTTTATTTTTATTTAGTTGAGCAGGTAATAAATATACCTGGGATTCCCTCCGTTTCTGTCTGTTTTCGCTGGAAATCACAGTTAAGGACTTATTCTAGAACAAATAAAGTAGCCGCGCCGTCAGCAGCCTCTCAGATTACGTACACATCAGTCTTCTCCCCAAGAAGCCAATATGTCCTCATTTTACCTTTACCCTGAAAAACAACAAAAACACAAATCAATCAGCTGGTCAATGGAGACGCAGCAGCGGTTTGATTGGGCCTCGATAACGGATCTGATGACACCAACACAGCAGGAAGGAGGCTTCGACTGCGGCGGCCATTTTGTTTCCAGAAGATCTGATTGGCTCAATTAAAGGGACGGTAAAAAAAACAAAAAAACAAGACAAAAATACACCATGCTGAAAAAACAAGATAAAACTCGTACAGAGAAATATATTTAAATTCCTGTCAATGGGAAGAACATCGAGTGTTTTTATTCTACCCACTGAATGTGGGTAGAAAATCCAGAAAATTAACTCAAGAGCAGAAATACTTCATAATGAAATTACTCAAAGCACAGCGTAGTAAAAATACTTTTTGTTTTACCAGTATCAGTTTTAAAGGATCCTTAAAGTTGACACTGTTAGCTAAAGCGTTAGCTATGCTAACCCTAACTACGCTGTAGCTCTACAGAGATGCATTCTGGGTACAGAATCTTGGATGAAGAATAATGAGGGGAAGTGGAACTGCTGCGTATTCACCCACTTCAAAATAAGAGCATAGATTTTCATTAACATTAAACTTCAACACAACTTAAAGTTCACAAAACAGCCAAGAAAATTGTTGCTTTTATCCAGGGAAGCTAAACGTTTTTAAAGTTAGCAAAAATGCTAAAGCCCTAAATGAGAGATTAGCGTGTTAGCGTACCCATAACTGGATCCTTGCAGTTAACTTTTCATTTGAATCTAGTAAACACCAGAATTTGAACTTAACTTTTACTGTTTTTTACATTTTAAATCATATTTTACGATTTTGAGCTGCATTTTTGCTAAAAACATTTTTATTCTTAACTTGAATATTTTCTTAGATTTCTACTTTTTACCTTTAGGGAAGTAAAAACATGTTAAAGTGTTTCTACTCCTACTACACTCTGAGTTTTGTTGCTCTACCTGCCTCTAGCTTTCCTGTCACAGCTGAAGAAAAGCATCCCACAGCATGATGCTTCCACCACCATGTCTCATTTAACCAAAAATCTTTGGTTAGAGGCCAATCAGCTGTGCTGCGACACAGACTGTTACAGGAAACGCTTCCTGCCCTCAACTTTTTAAAGTAACATTGAGCTTTGTTTTGTGATTAAAGAAGCAAATTTGAGTTGAATTTTGGGAAATTTTAAGCGCTTCCTCAATTATTTCACATTTCTAAAACATCTGAGTGAATTAAATCGATTTCACAGGAAACTCTGAGCTCTTGTGTTCTGGAGAGGAAGAAACCTTGCAGAAAATGATTCAACCAGAGAAAGAAATAAAAAAAGACAGAAATAATCAGATCTTGCCTTCATTTCTACGTCTCCTCGCAGCTGAAGGTCAAAGTAACCAAACTCATCCAGCACTTCTTTGGTGGCGGAGGAAACGTGGATCTTTAAGGCTGCGAGGAAAACCAAAAGCACAGCAGAGATAAAATAAAAAACCTCTCAGGGTGGAATTTAAATAACTCCAGCTTCTAAATAAAACCCATTTTGAAGAGTCAGAAACCAGCAGCTCAGAGGAAAAGCTGGTGAGTTTTATTAGTTAACGAAGGAGAAACGATTCCCTCCTGCTGCAGTTTACGGCTTTTTCTGAAAGAAACATCAATAATTCAGCAGAGGAGACAGGAAAACACTCAGCAGCTGATCAATACATCTGATGATCCAGTCGGAAAATATCCACAACGAGGCAGCAGCTGAGAAACTGATCTGCTGCTAATATTTAAAGAAAACGTCTCATTTCTTATTTATCTCCAGAATATTCCTAAAATTACAAATATTATTTACAGGAAAATAAAAATACTTCAGAGTTCTTGGTCTAGTTTTAGCGCAAATATGATAAAATTAACTTAAAAGTAACTTTCAACAAGAAATATGAGCTTTTTTCAAGTAAATAATTTATTAAAATTGATGATAAATACTGATTTTCACAGGCAGATTATTTGACTAATAAGATATTTTTCTCTTGTTATAAGTGAAATAATCTGTGGGAACAGTATTTATCTTATTTGATTTAATTATTTTTATTTATTTATTATTTTTGGCTGTGAATTGTTGCTATATTACGACAAAGTATTAGGGTCATGCTAAGAAAAATAAAATAAGAATAAAGTTGAAATAATGAGAATAAATTCAGAATATTTTGAAAAAATATTATGACTTTATTCTCGTAATGTTACTTTTCTAAACATTTTCTTAGCGTGGCTCTGATGCTGCATCGTAATACAGATTAAATTATAAACATATAAACATAATAATTAAATCAAATATTAAAGTAACTCCAGAGCGCAGGCTGGTTTCAGACACGTCTCCCCTGTTAAAGCAGACAGGAAGTGATGTCATCAGCTCTCACCCTCTCCGTTGGACTCCATGCGGGACGCCGTGTTGACGGTGTCTCCAAACAGGCAGTACCGCGGCATCTTCAGGCCCACAACGCCGGCGCACACCGGACCTGAGGAACCCGACGGTCAGAGGGTCACAGGGAGGCACAACAATGACGCTGCAGCAACCAGCGACATCATCATCATCATCATCATCATCATCTTCATCATCATCATCTTCATCATCATCATCATCATGCTGCTGCTCAGTGTCAGCTGACAGTTACTGTGGTGGAAATAAACTTTTTGCTTTTTGCTTCTTCCTGCTTCTATTCAAGCAGGTTCAGATTATTGTGGTGCAAAAATGTCTGTTGTTCATGTTTGAGTTTATACTTCTATCATGATCCAATAAATAAAATAAACGGTTTAATGGATGGATGGATGTTTCGTTGGATGATCCAGTCGGATGTTTACTCAGCAGAGTTCTGGTTTTCTGCTCATCTTGCTCCAGTTTCTAACCGATGATGGTTTTGTTGCGTTACAAGTCGTTTCTGACCTTTGACCCCTGAACGCTGTGACCTTGTAGTGGCGGTCGACCTTCAGACTCACCGGTGTGAATGCCTATCCTCAGCCGGAGCTGGTCGTTGGGTCGGTGTCGGATCTTGAAGGTTCTGACCTGCTCCAGCAGCGCTAGCGACATGCTAGCCACCTCTCTGGCGTGGAGCTTCCCGTTCCGGACCGGCAGACCCGACACAACCATGTAGGCGTCTCCGATGGTCTCCACCTGCAGACCGGACACAAACCAGTACAGCACCAGTTCACCACCGCCCGTCCCAGTTAGACCCACTGGTGACCCAAACCCACCTTGTAGACGTCAAAGTTATCGATTATGGCGTCGAAGCAGGTGTACAGATCGTTGAGCAGCGTGACAACCTGCAGGAAAAATAGATTTTATTTATTTAATCCAAACTGGTTTTCAAACAGTGACCAGTAGGACAAGAAAATACATAACCACACTGTAAAAAAACATCTGTAGAAATGCCAAAAAAGTTTACAGAAGAAAATACTGTAAAATGTTACTGTAGAAAACCTCAAAATGTTACCAAATACCATAAAATTTTATGGTAAAATTTTACTGTAGAAATTCTGTAAGATTTGACCATATAAACATGGTAAACTTTTACTGTATAAATATCAAATTTGAGCATATAAAACCATAAAATACTGTAACATTTTACCTTAAGAATACAGACATTTTACAGTATCAAAACCGTAAAACACCGTATAAAACCGTAAAGTTTTACCACATAAACACCATAAAATGTTACTGTACATGCACTGTAAAATACTATGAGTATTTTACCATAAATTAGAGACATTTATTTTACTACAGCGCAACAAGAACAAAATAATCAGCTTACCGCTACTCTTCTGTTTGAAACACTATTTAATCCGACCTTTTTCATTTACCGACTCAATAATTATCTCAAATTTGTAATTAAAACCATGTTATGGTATTCACAAAACAAAATGATTAGAAAATGCCTCTCATAGAAAACCTACAGATCCATAATAATAATAATGACAATTGTAAATAACACCTACTCTTAACAAGTATTTTTGTCTAGTTTCTGGTGTAAATATCTTAGCACTTAAAACTTTCTATCTCCACCACAGCAGAGCAGATTCTCTATCTGTCTGGATAAAGTGACTCAACTCTGCGTCAACATCTCCCATCTAACAGCTGATCTATTTCCAGTCACACACAGAGAGTGTGTGTGGGAACACACTGTCTCTGCTGGAGATCACGACAGCAGCGCGGAGCGGGAAGCGTACCTGCAGCGGCGTGCTCTCTGCAGACAGAGAGGTGAAGCCGACGATGTCGCTGAAGTAGATGGTGACGCTGTCGAAGGCCTCAGCCTGAACCGTCTCACCGCGCTTCAGCTGCTCCGCCACCGAGCTGCACACACACACACACACACACACACACACACAAGAACAGCACTGTCAAAATGAGGATACAAGCACAGGAATTAGCATGCTAACCGCTAAACTTAGCCCGTTTAATTTCAGGGTGATGACCTTTTGTCAAGATGGCCGATGTTTTTGAGACGCTTTAATCGGTTATTGACACAAAACGTTGCCCATCATGTTTTCAACTTTGGTCATCTTTTTCATGCAATGTTAAAATAATAACATGAAGTAAAATCAGAAACTGATGTTTGTTAGTTTAAAGTTTGTTAGTCGTCAACTGGAAGGAGATGAAGATGTGGCCGACAGAGACAGTCGTCTTAATAGTTAATGGTAGCGCCTGCTAACGTTTTTGATGTGTTTAGCAGTTTAGTGTTAGCCTCCAGTAATTTTTTTGTGTTAGCAGTTTCACTTTACCTTTCACAAATTTTTATAGGTTTAGCAGTTAGCTTTAGCTTCTGCTAATTATTTATGTGTTTAGCGGTTTAGTATTAGTGTCTGCTAATATTTATGGTTTTATCAGCTTAGTGTTAGCAACTGCTCTTTTGTTTGTGTGTAATGGTTTAGCATTAGCTACCGCTAATTTTATGTGTTAAGCAGTTTAGCTTTAGCTTCCACTTCTTTGTATGTGCTCAGCACTTCAGTATTCACTTCCACTAATCTTTTTATATGCTTAGCATTAGCTTTTGATTATTTTTATGTGTTTAGCGGTTTAGCGATAGCGGTTCAGTGAATTGGTGGTTAGTGAAGGTAACATTTTTGGGGATTAAAATAACTACTGCAGATTTTAGTTTACACATATTATTCTCCATTGTAACGATGGCGGCCATTTTGAAAAATGTCCACCAGAAAAATAATACACAAAATCAAGAAAATATATATGATTTCTATAGTTCAAAGTGTGTCATTTGATACCAGATAGATTTTTCAAATTTTCCATGACAACCATGGCGGCCATCTTGAAAAATGAAAAACTAACAGTAGATATGATTTCTATGGGTCCAATGTAAAATTTGACACTAAATGATAAATATTAGCAAATCTAGTGCCAAATTTTGTTGATGATGGCGGCCATCTTTAATTTTTTACCAGGGATTTTTCAAACGAAGGTGGGACTAAGTCACGTTTTGGTATCCACATGTGATAGATTTTGCAAACGTACTGAATTATCTGGTGCAGTAAGTACGGCAGAGGCTGTAAAGTCAAAGAAAATATGTTTTTTCAGCCGTTTTCTCCTTATTATCCAGCAGCCCTGGGCTCTGGCTGAACGCCTGGCCACTAAAATCATCCCCAGATGTCAGTTTATCTCTGCTCATGTTAATTTCCCTTCAATCAAACGACACCAAAGGCAGGAACATCTCGGAGGCAGAGGTCAGTTTGTTTAAATCTGGAGCGCGGTGAGAAATCAGTTCTTCTGTTCCTCTCAGGCCCTTTTTCTGTCTGCCTAATTTCAACATGACGAAGGAGGAAGAAGAGGATAAACGATGGAGGAAAGCTGGATTTGCTCCGTTCTGCTGTCTCTCTTTAATGAGCGGTTTCGCCTTCCTGTTCTCCCTCTGCTGCCCTTTTTATCTGCAGCGAGATCACACTGCTGGGAAATGCGTTTGAGTCTTTAATTAATACAGAGGTTTAGCGGCGCTGACAGAGTGTCACTGCGAGCCGGTGGTGCATCGTCCAATCAGCTGAGCTCCAGTTAATTGGTGGTTTTGGTTTTTTCCTTCTTACTGTGGGAGGATTTGGTAGAGGAGGTTTTCGGCTTTCCGCTTCTCCTCCAGGTAGGCCTGCGTCCGCTCCTCCACCAGGTTCTCCAGGTTGTTGGCGTATTGCTCCATCCTGGACAGCAAGTTGTTCAGGATGCTGGTGCTGCCCTCCCTGTGGAAAAAACATAAACATGTGGCAACTCTGAAGAGCAAGAAATAAAGATATGTTTAACATAACGTTATAATCTGTGGGGGGGGTGGGGTGTATTTTTTAATGTGATATATTTTTTCAGTATTTAATTTAATATTTTGTATTGTTTTTTATTTCATTGTATTTTGTACATTTTATTGTGTAGTAATTAAATTTTTACATTTATTTTATATTATTTTAGTTTCAGTTTTTAATAATTTTTCCCCATTTTATTTTTTGTTTTTTTTACTTTAAATGGTTTATTTTTTCATTTTTATTTAATTGTTTTTTGTAGCTTTTTATATTTCTAATTCCATTTTTTGTATTTTAAAATATTTTATTTCATTTTTATTTTTTGTATTTTGTGGTTTTAATTTTTATGTTCAGTTTTAATCAGTTTTCTTTTTCATTTTATATTTTGCAATTTTATTTAAGTATTTAATGACATTTTTTTATGTCAAATAAAATTTTATTTATTTGTTTGCATTTTTTATATTTTAATGCTTTTTGTGTCACTGGAAGAACAGATATTACAGATATTATCTACTGGAAACATTAGTTTTATACTTAAAATTTTTATTTGGAAAACCAGTTAAAACATTTGCATTATAATCATGTTAATTTAAATTTTATGTGTCATAATTATGTCACTTCAGGCATCCCATATGAAGAACTAATCCTGCAGACATAAAACTGGCTTCTATCCTTAAATGTTAGCAGCTAATTGTGGCATTTAGTGGCTTTTTTAGACAACATTGATGCTCTAAAAGCTGATGCCTGGGTCTCGTAGGTTTTCTAATTACATGTTTCCATAATGTTTATGCTTTACAATCATATGCTCAGGCATAAACACAACCAAACGCTCACAGTTACTCAGACGGAGCGAGAAGGTGAGTCATCCACGCCAGCATGGAGGCTAAAAGCATCAATGTCTGGCACCTTCCCAGTAGCTACTGGGTCGTAGCGGCCTACAGACGCCCACACGCTGTTTATCTTTAAAGGAGCAAATATCAGACATGGACGACTAATGAGTAACGAGGCTTTGAGTTCAATCGAAAAAGGTCACATGAAGATTAGCGCCCAGCATTTCAACATGTATAGTACAACAAATGCAAACCTGAAAATACAAGAAATGTGTTAATACTGACCAATTAAATAAATGGGAGTTAGGACTGAAATGATTAATCGTGATTAATTGATTGTAGAACTAATTGTCAAATAATTCTGTAAACGATTAATCGTTAACTAGACAAAAAAAATCAATTTGATGAAATATAAAATATATTCAGAGAAGGAAATAACCTGAAAGTGTTCAAAAAATAAAAACATTTTGCATTGTAATAAAAGATACTTTTGTTTGTAAACATGTTTTAGCCAAAACTCCTCATTTGATGTTATTTTAGCTTCATCTGGTTTGAATTCTGGGGAAAAACTCTTATTATATTATATTAAGCTCCCTCTGCTTTCCAATTATCACTTCATCCAAAAAGTAGTCATCAGATTAGCTCTACATAGTACTGATGCCAAGTCAAGCAGAAAAGTGATCACAAAAGGAACGCGATGTTGTTGCATTTTATTGTCTTTATTTAAAAATATAATTTAATTATTAGTTTATTTAAATTTTCTAATGTATTTCAGGGATTGTATAAAAAGTATTAAGTGAAAAATCTGCAGAACTTGGCCATTGTTATCGGATTAATCGATTAATCGTCAAACTAATAGGATAATAATCAAATAAGGCTCGTCAATACAATTAATTGATAACTAAATAATTGTTAAATAAAACTAAATTCAATAGAATTGTATTAAGTTTTATTCTAAGAGTTAAACTGAAAAACAAAAAAGGGTATTTGTAATCGATTAATCATTAACTGGAGTATAAATATTCAATAAAGGCCATTTGGTGAAAAATCATCAGGGTTTCCCCCAGTGCATTATAAGCCTGGCGGGCCTCCAGGCTTTACTTCTGCCCCCACCAGGCTTAGCATTGCTTACTTGTTTTTTATTTGTATTTTTTAAGACTTTATAGTTAATGTTCAATCTTTTAATAACACATAATTATCAAGTGATATTTTCAAATTTCCTGTCGACTAAACATTTTTTAACTCAAAAACCCGACGGGTCGCTGGATGGATGACTGCGGTAGACCCCAACCAACGGGGTTAGCAGGTTTTCTGGGCGAGACCTTGAACAGCAAATCAAATCCGCTGTAATTCCTCTAAACTAGAATTTAAAAGGATTTATATTTTCGGTCTGAACCTCCAGTAATGGATGAAAGCTTCCAGTGAATCAGAGTGAAAGTGTTCAGAGACAAACAATGGAGAGACTTCATGCTCGCAGTGAGAGGTCAGCGTTTCACAGCCAGCTTCAGACTTCCTGTGTGGGTTCAAACCAAACCATTTGTCGCCGGACACCCTTTCACTCTCGCTCCCAAAATAACAGCCCATCCATCACGTCACGTCAACAACAAGCATTTTCCAGATGAGCGTAACCACCAGACGGGGCGCGAGGCGCGGGCTGCCCAGGCCAACAGCAGCGGAGGGACGGGCCTGTCAGCAGCATCCTTGAGTGCTTCGGAGGTCATCAATCATGAGGACCTCTTCACTTAAAACCACTCAGAGCTGAACGTGAGCAGAGCCATCCAATGTGGAGAAACACGGCTAATAGAGGAGAGGTCGAGCTGAGAGGAAAACTCTCAATCTGTCAGAGTCGCCTCCAATATGGCTGTTTTTATATCACTGATGGGTTTGTACTGCAGTGGAGCCGCAGAAGAGATAATATCTGTAAATGTTAGGGATATCATCTAGAAATGCTTCTAACTGCATAATTCAACTGTTCAAATACAAAATATACATTAATATGCTGTAATATGACCAGTGGAAACAGCCTTAGCGATGTTAGCACAGAAGCTAACACTCATGGTCTGATGGTCAGCCAATCAGCAGCAACCAAAATGAATCGGGCTCTTGGATTGGCTGATTTGGAAAAGAATGAAAATAGTGAACCATGTAGCATCCATCCTTCATCCATCCATCCATCCATCCATCCATCCATCCATCCATCCATCCTCATCCATCCATCCACTCATCCATCCATCCATCCATCCATCCATCCATCCATCCATCCACTCATCCATCCATCTATCCATCCATCCACTCATCCATCCATTAGATGAGAAATGGTTTCTAATCCCTCCCAGTCGTTCTGATCTCCTCCATCTTGGATTCCTGGTTTCTCCTCTATCATTGTTTCATCTCCTCTGAGCTCATCTTGAAACTCGGTCCTGATCGTTTCTCTGTTTCTCTTTGTTCCCACATTATCAGATGAGACCCATCTGGACTGCTGGCATTCAGTTCCAGCTTCGTTCTGGATGGCCATGAAAGATTTCCCTTTGATGATAGCAGATCATAAGCAACTTCAGCCTCTCTGTTCATCTCAGCCGAGCCCAGAGCGATGATTCTCCACCAGATCATGACAGACGCTGGATTTAACTCCCTTAGTTTATATCAACCGCCATCCATGTTGTTAATTAAATCTGGACCCATTATAAAACAGAACACTTGTTGCCTGCATTTTTATCCAGCTTGTTCCCAGAGAACTTGCACTGTTCAGAGATTTATGCCTTCCTCCTTCCTTATGCAATATCAAGTTACCCTGCTGGATGCAGCGGAGGGAGGGCTGCCTCGGGTGACATTGATTTTGCAAAGTACTTCTGAGTTCATGTGGCTGAATGGATCCTTTTTTCTCTTTCCAAAGTTTGAATGTTGTCCCACGGTGTCCCACAGTGTTCAGGTGTTGCAATGAAAACAGCTCAACCTAACAGTTTGTTTTTCC